AATTATCCTAAAAGGAGGATGAAACAGCGCATTAAAATTCCGTTATTAGGTATCAGATACCAGAACTGTTATTATTTGTTATTCGCTATTGTTATTACCACATAATTTTGTTATGAAGTGTGTATTAGGTGCTTATGGCATTCCCTCACTCGCTTTGTACGAGTTATTAGTTACGCGGGCTCTTGTATGAGGGATCAGGTACTAGGGATGAGTCCCTGTTCCTCGAATCATTGTATTTTTCATGTGGCTTAGAGGAAGGGAGGGAGGGGGAAGGAGGGAGGCGAGGGAGGCGGAGGGAAGGAGGGGGGAGGTGGAGGAGGGAGGGAGGGAGAGGGAGGCGGAAAGAGGGGAAATGAGGGAGACGAAAGAGGGTAAAGGAGGGAGGGAGGGTAAGGGAGGTAAAGAAGGGAGGGAGAGAGGGTGAGGGGAGCGACGGAGGGTCTATCCTCACCCTCTGCTATCCCACTCCCAGCCCCCTTCCCCACTCTCATTCTACCTTCTTCCTCCATCCCCTTTCATCTCCCTTCCCCTTCCCCCCATTCTCTCCCGACACCCCTCTCCCTACTGCTTCTCCCTTTCCCCTCCCACCACCTTCCCTCCCTCTTCCGTACCATTCCCTTCCCCACCCTTCCCAGCACCCGTCCCTTCCCCTTCCCATACCTTTCCCTTCCCACCCTTCTCCCCCCTCCCCCACCCTCTCCCATACCCTTCACCCCCACCCCTCCCCCCTCCCCTTCCCCCACTCGTCTCTCACAACCTCCCCCACTCGTCTCCCCCTCCCCTCTCTCGTCTCCCCCTCCCCTCCCCCACCCGTCTCCCCCTCCCTCCCCCGTCTTGCATGAGCCCTGATCGACAGATATGCAAGACGGGACCGATTTTTTCAGGGATATGGATTTCAGGGCTGTTCTCGTATGCTATAACAGCTTAGCGATCGATGGGGAGGGGAGAGGGAGGGGTGAGGGAAGGGGAGGGGCGGGGGGGAAAGGGATGCTTGGGAAGGGAAAGCGTGCTAGGAAAAAGGGAAAGGAGGGGAGGGAAAGTTGGAGGGGGAGAGGAAAGAGGGGAGGATAAATGGAGAAAGGGAAGGAGAGGAAAAGGAGAGGGGAGGAGGAGAAGGCGAGAAGAAGGAAGAAGGGGAGAATAGGAAGAGAGATAAAGAAAGGAAGTGAGAAATAGAAGGGAGAAGAAAGGAGAGAAAGAATTCAGAGGATAGAGAGAAATCAGGGAATAAGTTGAAGTAAGGGGAGGAGAGAGGGAGATAAGGTAGGAAAAAGAGGCGAAGGGGGGAAGTGCGAGGGGAAATGGGAGGTAGAGGGAGAGGGAGAGGATATACGTTGAAAAGCCTTTCAGCTTGGGTCCAGCTTCTCTGTGACATGTGGGGGGGGGGGGGGAGTTCTTTGTTTTGAATTGATGCATGGAAGGTTTGGCATGTGTGAATATACCGTATGTGTATTCGTACTTTCGTGCATATGTGCTTATTATTTACTAATATTTATTATTATAAATTCTCTCTCTCTCTCTCTCTCTCTCTCTCTCTCTCTCTCTCTCTCTCTCTCTCTCTCTCTCTCTCTCTCTCTCTCTCTCTCTCTCTTATACATATACATCAGCTTCTGCTCAAATAGTTCACTAATCCTCTAGGCTACCAAACGTACGGACTTTCTATTGATCGAATATTGAAAATTGAAAAAAATAGCCTATGGATATTGGAAACAAGTCTGCGTTCCGCCCCGTTTAACCAATAAGGAAGCCAGTACAGTCTGTCTCTTCTGGCGAACTGAAAGAATACGTCCTTGCAGCTGCCAGGGAGAATGTCCAAACCCTAACACTAATAATTATATATATATATATATATATATATATATATATATATATATATATATATATATGTATGTATGTATGTATGTATGTATGTATGTATATACATATATATATTATATTTATGTATGTATATATGCATATATAGATGGATAGATAGATAGAGATATGTATAATATAGCTATGTATATATTAAAGATACACACATATGTATGTATATGTATGTCTATATACATATATGTGTGTGTGTGTGTGTATATATATATATATATATATATATATATATATATATATATATATATATATATATTATATATATACATAAATATATATGTATATATGTGCGTGTGTGTGTATAATTACATATAAAGATATTGTGAATACTGCAAATATTCCCACAGCTAACAGTATTAGCATCTTATGGAAGAGAGTCTTGAAAGATGCAGCATAAGGCCTCATGGCCGGTTTGAGCATGGAAGATCATGCCTGGTTGGATGCATGCTGTAGGCCTGCTGGCTGGTCCGCGACACATGAGATGGAGAATGTAAGCGAAGGAAATTAGACAACTGCACTTTCTACATTCGAGTGCCATGACACAGCCTTTCGAGTGACTTAGCTTGAGGTACGAAGCGGTGTGTAACAAACTCATATCATCTTATCTGTTGGAAGATATGTTCATATCTGATCCTAAATTCGGAATGCAATTTCGCAAAATGGCCATGTATCGTTTACATTTTAACCATGCCTACCTATGTATAAGCATTACGCCGAAATGGAAACTGCAATTTCCTAAGTTGATATAATACACGATACTGTCGTGGTATAACAATACCACTAATAGTGATTATGATAACAATAATCATAACAGAGATAAGGATGATACATTAATAATCAGAAAGCGCAGAGCTGTCAACGCCCCAAAATCCGTTGTCAAATTGTACAGATCTTCCACATCTTAAATGAAAAATTATTTCTTTGAAGACCAATTCTACATCACGCATCGCACTGGCCATGAATTCTTTAGTAATTATAGTTTGATGGAAGAGAGAGAGAGAGAGAGAGAGAGAGAGAGAGAGAGAGAGAGAGAGAGAGAGAGAGAGAGAGAGAGAGAGAGAGAGAGAGAGAGAGAGAGAGAGAGAGAGAGAGAGAGAGAGAGAGAGAGTTGGGAGAGAGGCCTCTTTCTCTAATGGTTCAGGCGTTACATCATTTATCATTACTGTTATTTTCTTTTCCAACAATTTAATATTTTTTCGGTCTTCACTTCATAAAATCAAACATAGAAATATTGATATAATCAGATCTTTCGTCAGGTCTGGTTATCAATCTCCTTAAAGCGAAAATTCCAGTAATTATGAATGAGTGATCGATTATAGGTACAGCGCTTGTATATACGGCTGTTTTGTGTTATTGTTCGGGTGCAGAGCCACGCGCAAGGCTTTTCAAAGGAGGTGGCGATGAATAAGGAAGGACAGTTTTCATAACTGTTTTATCTGCATTTACAATACAAACGGTATTGCCTGCTGATATACCCCCCCCCCCCTGTCTTTTTAACCATTAGGTCTCATGAATGCCTCTGAAGAAAAGATGGAATCAATATCGTTAAGTCTGTCCTCTTAATAGTAGTGTCTATGTCATCTTATTCAAAGAAAACCTCCATGCTAGTCCTAATTCTAAGGGTTAACACAAGTAAAATTTGCATTTTTTTCTTGAATACAATAGTGAAATTGTTTCGGAAGCTTTAATTCGTAGGTATAATCATTAGAAGTGTATATGAAATCAAACTTTGCAAATTCATCTCGCGTTCTTGAAAAAGACATAAGGCTTTAAGACAATATATATTGACAATTAGTCTTTCAACAGTGAAAGTATCAATATCAATGAAAAAATTAGTAATAAAATAATCTATATGTTAACGTTCATTCTATACAACATCACTAATAAATGATTGGAAATTCCTCTGTAATCTTATTTTTTAGCATTGTTATCGATAGCATATAGGTCACTGTACGAAACCTTGATAAGAAAACAGTTTAAAATATTTCTTAAGTAGATAAATCTGTAGATTATCAAGAATAACTGGGAAAAGGAGGTATTAATCTCATCCTTTTCACATTTTCTATCTAATAGATTATATATTTTTATATCACGTGCTTTCATCTATCTATTCATTATTAGTATTTTTTTTTTTTTTTAGACAGTAAGTTTTGAAGATATATCTGATAAGCCAAATGTTTCGATTTCAGTGTTTTTTAAATGAAGTCCTTGGCTATATAAGCTTAGTTCATTTCGATTTTTGTAAGGGAAGGTATTTCATATGATCCACAAAAACACTACAAATTTTAAAAAGAGACCTTGGTGTGAAGATAGACTAGAGTAATACCAAAAAGTAAAATGTGAAATAGCAATAAATAAGTATTACAGATAGTCAGATATATCCTCTACACGTAAGGCAAACCCATATTATACAGCATATTGTATATAATACATAATTTTTTTCTTAGGCTAGCAATGGCATCATAGCACGATGACGTCATTACTGATAAGTGTATCATAGACAGACTGACAGATGAGACAGATTGACTGCCGGATATATGTTTTTTATTCATACATACAACAGCGCAACAATTTTTCTTATCTACTTGTGATATCATTCCAAAGACGTCAACAAAACGCGATGCCGGCAATGCAGAATGAACTTGTTTTGACTTAATTACACGCACAGACACATAAACACACACACACACACACACACACACACACACACACACACACACACACACACACACACACACACACACACACACACACACACACACACACACGCACACACACACACACACACACACACACACACACACACACACACACACACACACACACCACACACACACACACACGCACGCACGCACGCACGCACGCACACACACACACACACACACACACACACACACACACACACACACACACACACACACACACACACACACACACACAACACACACACACACACACACACACACACACACACACACACACACACACACACACACACACACACACACACACACACACACACACACACACACACACACACATGTATATATGTGTGTGTATATATTGATAATCTAGAATTATCTGCATAAATAATGTTGCATGAAATCATAATACTGTACAACAATTCTTACTTTTCAAATACGATTTGTTTCAGACGATAACAATATATGACGTCATTATTGATCGATGACGTCACCAGTGTATCGTACGCCTCCGATCACTTGACATTCCTCGGCCAAGACAGCTGTCAAGCATTACACGTTGCCAGGTGAATTTGCTTGGATTTAGGGTATTTTGGCTTTGGTTTTGGCACTCTGAGATTTGTTTTAAGTAGAGAAGAAAGGCAGAATGAGAAATTATGTTGAGATCATTTCATTGCGATTTTTGGAAGAATAATCCTAATGTTTTTGTTTATTTGACCATTTTTTGTTTTGAATTGTAAAGTAATTTTTGCACATTTGTGTTAGGACTGGTAAGTGGCTAGGTAAGGTCTTTCTTTGGGTATCTAAATCTCTATATAGTTAAAGTTTGTGTTATTGAAAGTGAAAGTAAATTCTGGAAAATCAGCATATTTATTTTATTAATAGTGCCTAAGAATAAAATCTTGAAAATATTTGTTTCTGGTACATGACTAGAAGATGCCCACAGCATTTTCCGAGCAGGATCATTTGCTCATAATGAAAATGGCTGTGAAACATAATTGGTGAAAAAAGGTTAGGCAGCCTGCCTAAGACCCAATAGTTATGCAGTGACAAGACATCACTGCGGCCTCCATGCTGGGCATTACAACAAAGGCCAGTAAAACTTCGCCCATATATTACAGGAAGGGAGAAAGCTCACTAAGTTTCATAACAAAGAGTTGATAAACTGGAGGTTGATAAATGCCACTTGACATAATGCCCAGTTGGAAAATGTGTTCTTTTTCATAGAAGCATCTTGGTGAGCAACAACAATATATGGGCAGCGACATGCGAGCAGTGGACATTTATGGTGCAAGAACAGCAATAGCTTTTCATCAAAATATTAGACCGGAAACTGTCATTGGCATGTAAATATTGAATTTATCCACAGGTTTTTATGAGCAGTTGTTCCGTAAATGTTGTTTACATTAATTTTTAGCTAGTTTGAGTTATTTTGAAGCATTCTCTATGATCCATTTAAGTTAGAGTATAGGCGATCAACACTATGATTTAAAGGAAATTATATATAGTCAATCCAATCCAATCTTATAGTATGCTCAGAATAAACATTTGAATATTATACCACATCCAAAATTTTCTTATTCACCCATAATGTTTATATCGTAGTATAAAGTACAACTCGGAAAGCAATACCGCAGAATGACAGTGGTCTACTACACATAGTTAAAGTATACAATAGGACTCCACCGGCTAAGGAGAAACAGGTTAGGAAGTTTTTTAGATTATATAGCAATCTTGGTGATATTCCCTGCCCTTGGGATGGGGATCATACATTCGTTTGTTTGCGTCTGGGCTCTGAAGAGTGGGGTTCTGTTGTAAACTTTTAGCATCTGTTATTTTGACTTTTTTTCTTGATCTGTTTGTTATTATTATTGTCATTTTCATTAGTATCATTATTATAAATGTTATAATTGTTATTATTATTATTGTTATTACTATCATTATTATTATTATTATTATTGGCATCATCATCATCATCATCATCATCATCATCATCATCATCATCATCATCATCATCATCATCATCATCATCATCATCATCATCATCATCACCATCACCATCATCATCATCATCATCAATCAATCATCATCAATCAAATAATCATCAATATCATCATCAATCATCATCATCATCATCAATCAATCATCAATTCGTCAATCTTTTTTTTCGTTATTGTTATAATTATTATTATTTTTTAATTAATATTATTGTTACTATTATTATTATTCTTGTTTCAGTTTTTTTTCTGATATTATTATTGCTATTATTATTATTATATGCTTTTTATGTTGAAAAAATTGTACCATATTTGAAGTGCTTTTGAAAATAAAGTAATTTCTTTTCCACTGTGACTCTCATTTTTGTAACTTTATTTCCTGTGTTATAATGATATTGGCCTCTCGCAACTTACTTTTAGTCTTCGTTAACGACCAGGTGTCTGAGATGTACAAGTGTTAGATTTGGATTAGAAATATTGCCAATGTGTAATGTTGTTATACAAGTTTCATGAGATTAAATGAGGATTTGAGGCAACACACCTGTGCCAGATAAACTAGTCTATGGTATATGTAAGATGTGGGCTCAGATATGTGTAAGGAAAGCAAGCGTTACTGTGTGTGTTCTGTTACTAAAATATTTTAGTTATATCCAAATGTTTTCATTTTGCTATTTTCCCTTTGATTACAGGACTCAGTCATTTGATAATGACAGTTATTAAATATTATGATAACTATGCATATTTGAATAACTTAATAATTTTTAGATACTTTGGATAAGATGTCATTATTACTGTCATTCATTACTAGTTCATTTACCAGTAATCATTTGCATTCCTACGTAATCCTACATAATCTCACTTATTTCCCTTCCCCTCTTATACATACATAAGTTACAACAATTATAATATTGTCTCATTCCCCCAGTCCCCCACCAGCCAAGAAAAGCGCCTCCCTGTGAAGCCAGCGAGGATGCCGGAGGGGTCTGATGCTGGCCAGGTGCTAAAGGAGGTGCTCCCACGGAAGGGCTTGCTCTATCAGGAAGACTCTTCTCCGCTGGCCTTGTGTCGCCCAAAACTCATGCCCCTTAAGTCAGTCACGCTGGAGAAGCTGGAGGCTATGCAAAAGGCTGCTCAGGAGAAGGGGCGGCAGCAGCAGGAGGAACAACTTGAACGGCAGGCCACTGCCCCGGCCAATGGTTCCAGGATCTTTTGATACGCTACAGCTATTTCATATTTTTATTTCTTTTTCTTTTTTCATTCTTTCTTTACAAGCTCTCAAAAGATTGTGTTGCACTGATTTTCATTATTTGTGTGGAGATTTTTCTTGGTGTTATAGCCTGAAAACTTCTTTAACTAACTTAAGGACAAGCACCCAAAAGTGACTCCCCCAAAAAATTGCACATAAAGGAAAACTACACAGTGACAGCACATACTTTGCACATACTGTAGAGATAAGTTCATAACAGAATAATTGCTTTAAGAAGAGTGAACCAATTTTATCATTAATTGTGCAGCAGCATCAACAGTTAGAAAATACTTTAACACTGAGTTGATATACTGCACAGTTAAGTTTATGCGCTTGTGAAACTGCTATGCTATGCTCTATGTCTAAAATCTAGTCAGAAAACAAAACCGAATCGAAAGAAGACCACCTGAAGCAAGATACAAGTACATCCTTCATTTCATGCATCACGAAAGGAGCAAGAAATAACTCCATAGAAGAAAGTAAAACTCAAAAATATAATCCACCTTATAGACAAGCAAGATGGGTGTGGGACCCTTGGTTGTAGAAGTCTTAGTGACATTTGTGGTAGCAGCTGTGGTGCTCTTCCACTATGGCAATTGGTATCGTCATCACATCGTGGTCACAGTCGCAGTACTAGTGGCCTGGTATTTCTCCATGCTCATCGTCTTTATTCTGCCACTTGACGTGTCCAATGTAAGTAAACTTTTATAGGGTTTTATTTAACTACTTCTGCAGAGAGGAAATTATTATGGTTAACATTTAAAGTTAATTAAGTAGGCCAATTTATAACATTAAAGGGTAAGTGCTAAAGATGATGGAATATATGGAGCCAGAATATTCCTGCCCTCTTGTATCACATTATTTTTCATTCATAAATAAGATCATCATTAATATAATGATCATTATCATCATTGTCAATGTTGTCATTATTCCCATTATTGTTTTTATTATCATTGTTGTTGTTATTATTATTATTGTATTATTATTATTATTATTAGTAGTAGTAGTAGTAGTAGTAATTATTATTATTGTTATTAATATTAGTATTAGTATTAGTAGTATTAGTATTAGTATTAGTATTATTATTGTTATTAATATTATTATTATTATTGTTATTGTTACTATTATGAATGCAATTATGATTATTAGTTATTATTAATTATTGTTACTATTGATCCATTGTCACTTAGGTCTGCATATATACTTGTATATATATATATGTATATATATATATATATATATATATATATATATATATATATATATATATATATAATATATATTTATATAAACATATATATTTCAATATATATACTGTATATATATATGCATAAGGGGTGGTTCAAAATTTTCAACATTTTCATGAGCATACAAAGAGCACACTTGGAAGGGGCAGTAGATGTGGCTGAATCGTTTAGTAGTTAGTACGAAATAATTTTCAGAGTTACCTGGTCTTCACAATTGTCCCAATTAAAAATGATCCTGATACTTCACTCAAGGGAGGATGACCCCTAATTGTGGAAATGATTTACTATAAGCTTTTAAAGGGGAGCAGGACTATAAGGATCATTTTCACAGGACTACCCTGTCTGCTCAAGGGCACATCTGGCATCAACATTTTCAGGTGTACGCTTTTAGGGGGGAGGGGGAGCAAAAAGAGTGCTTTTTGTATACTTGTGAAAATGTTGAACCACCCCTAATGTATGCATGTAAAGCTGCAATATATATATAAATTTAGTAAGTTTTACAAGAGGAAGGCAAATCATAATCTAAATTCATGTTAATAACTTCTGCTCGTTTCCAGACCATATACCAAAACTGCCTCCCAGATGTAGCTGATCCATTGAAGGTGCAGAAATTACTTCCTTCAACCCCAAGCAATTTGACCAACGAGACCAGCCTGCTCTCGGACCCTATTGACGATGGCAGCATAGCAAATATCTCCGTGACAACAGTGGCCCCCTCCCCCGTCCCTCCCCCTATACCAGGCTGCCACAAGCCCTGGAGTTTTGTCCCAGCTGGAGTCTTTCCTGTGTTTTGGAGGGTTGTCTACTGGACCTCACAGTTTCTTACATGGTATGAGGTGTTGCTTATATGTTAATGCATTCACTAAGTTTAGCTTTGGGGTGGGGGCTTGTTTATTTGTTTCATTTGCATATACAGTGTATTGATTATTGTTTTTGTTAGGGTAAGCATGGGGTATTCATCAGACTTTAAGCACATCTTTAATGAAATCCATCCTCTTCCAGGTTGATCTTGCCTCTCATGCAGTCGTACACTAAGGCTGGAGATTTCACCTTTAGCACCAAGCTCCGTTCTGCCCTCATAGATAACGCCATTTACTATGGATCTTACCTTCTGATTGTGGGAATACTGCTTCTCTACATTGCCCTGACGAATCTTGAGTTGGATGGGTGAGTTTTTGGTTATTTGCACAAATGTGTAAACAAAAAGAGAAAGGGAAGAGCAGGAAAACATATAATGGTGCTCAAAGATGTTGTTTTGGTCATTTTTTGAGTCAATGTTTCTGTAAGATGGTCTATGCCTAAACAAGATGCAGAATCTAAATTATTGAAATCTCTTGATAGTATGATCTTTGATATAGTTTAAAGCACTTGAGTAGATATGTGGCCATATGTATTTAGTATACAATGCTAAAATCATTATTTAGAAAAATGGGTTTAATGAGAGATTTTTTTATTACCATTTATACAGATATTAATTACTCACTATAGTAACACTCATCTTGGACACTTTATATTGACAAATATGATTGCCAAAGTGCAGTTTATGATTACATATAGGTTGCACTGGCACATTTGATGCACTTCCATTTCAGTAGGGTATATTCAAAGATGAAGTGTTCACACCTTTGTATGTAAGAGGTGGAGTTATTATTATTATTATTTTTTTTTTTTTGGGGGGGGGTGGACATTTAATTGCCATCAAATGTGATTATTATTACTAGTTGTACTTAGATCTTACCTTACATGTTTACTTCAAAAATGCTATAGTACTTTGGACTATATGATATTACAGTCTTAACCCCAAGCCACCGGGAATGGCATGTACATACGTGCCATTGCCCATTGTGGGTGTTGAATTTAGTCATTGTTTTTACATATAGATGGCTCCACAAGTACTAAGTCACCAATGAACCAATTACACGAACTACCTGTCTCACCTGTTTACCCTTTACCTTGATTTTCGATAATATTTTCTAATATTAATACTGCTGTTAGTAATGTCAGTAACAATATAGTGATTATAATGTTTATAACAAAGTTAACAGTGTCAGTATTGAAAGCATTAGTAAAAAAAAACGTTTTCCTGCTTTTTCAAGGAAAAGTGAGGTCGCAAGATCTACCAATTGACTCCTTTGTGGCTAAGCATTGGCATATGTGCAGAAACATTTAATCAAGCATTGCCAAAGGGAACGCACCATTTTCCCATCAGCATTGGGTTAATTGATATTTTATAGCAAATATATCAACACTTGATGAATTATATGTCAGTTGAGGAATGTGTATATTGTTAAAATATATTCAGTAATTATATCAAACCTGTTTATATATATTGCAAATATTACTGTCTGAAATAATATTTCATAGATTGACACTTATTTATCAGTATGTGAGTAAGCTAAAAAGTAATACTTGATACTCAACCACATTATATCACCCAACCAGAGCAAAACTCAGAGCCATTGCTGCCTCTGCCTCCAACACATGGGGTCTGTTCTGGCTGGTGTTACTTCTTGGCTATGGCTTGGTGGAAGTTCCGCGCTCCATTTGGCACTCAGCCTCCACTCTGCACACACTCCACCACGCATATTTCCGTGCAGCAAAGCTCTCTCAAGAAAAAGCCGAAGCTAATGAGCACGTCAGTGATTTGCTACAGGTAAAGTATATTATTTATGTAGTTTGCTGTTTCCCTTTTGTTTTTGTTTTTTCATCCTTTCCTTTTGTCCTTTTGTGTAAATAAATTGGTAAACTAAGAGTTAAACATTTTTATATCAGTATCAGATTGAAGGATATTTGTCTCTATATTACCCACACAACCATTACCATTTCCTTCCTGTGTAACGCTCTCCTTCCACTTTGCAGAGTATGCGGGCCCTAGGAGGAAGCATTGGCTTGGGTCACCCACTACGTGCACATATGGATGTCATTGAAAACAAGGTCCCTTCAGAGCTTCTAGATAGAGTTCGCCAGCACCCTACTCCTGACTCCCCACATGCAGATGTACCCTCCGAAAAGGCACTTGTCAGGTTGCACAAGCAGGTAAGGGATAGGAGTCAAGGTTCTATTATGAGATGAGAGGAAAAGTCAGAGCTGCAGTTGCAGATACCAGAGCAGCCTGAAGGTTACATAAGCTGCTAAAAGAAGTAGTGGGTTAGAATTGACTGTTATATTTCCAAAATAGGTGGGGGAAGGGAAGATTAGAGAAACACACTCCACAAGGAGTCCTGATTTTTTGTGTTGATTTTCTCAGCTTTTTCATCTTTCTGAAGCAAAAATAATCAACGTTTGAGTGATCTTTTTTGTACATTTGATTTAGAGGTAATTTTCAAACAGTTCATTTCTCCTGTAATATTTCTAAATTCATCTTTCCAGTTGATAAAGGCCCTTCAAAACCAGAGACGTGTGGAGACTCAGTGGGGCTTGCTAGTAGAGAACATTGCATACTTGGAAGACACACACCGTAATGCAGTCTCTCATGATACCTCTTTCAAGCACTCAACTCCACCACGAAGGCATTATCTCATCTCTTATGTTTATACCCCTACTGTAGGTTAGTTTAATAGTTTTGGCGTTTAACACCTCCATGTATGATATGTATATATGTTGCTATGTATGTATGTGTATGTTTTTTTTTTTCTCTCTCTCTTCCGTTTCTTTCTGTTTTAGTTTCTTTGTTATCAGTAATTTTTTTTTTTTTTCTGTTTTTCCATCTATTTCCTTTTCCTCTTTTCTTCTTTCCTCATCCTTTCTCCCTTTTATTCCTCTTCTTGCTCTTCTTTTTGTTTTTTCTAGCAGCCATTCTCTTTCACTCGACCATTTTCTTATGACAAATACCTAGGAATTAATGGTAAAGCATTCGACTACAAAATGCACAATCACATTTTTTTGTTGTTGTTGCTTTTTATAGAATCATAATACCAGTATCCTCTTTTTTTATTGTGTAAAACCCACCACAAAATTGATCTGCATATGCCCTCTCCTCTCGCCCCCTAGAGTGGCTGTGGCGCTGTCGCATCCGTGGTTACTTACTGCGTTCGGTGGCTGTGTGCTGTGCTCTGGTGTCAGTGGCAGTGGTGTGGTCAGAGCTCACCTTCTTCAGCACATCTCCCACCATCTCACTTTTTGCTGTCTTTGTCAATCTCGCTAAGGCCAGCTATGATTATTTCACCATCGAGGTAAGGGGGAGGCGAGATTTGTGATTTTTTTATCTCAGCGTATTTATTTATTTATTTTTTTATTGTTATTGTTTTTTAAAAATATTTTTTACTTAATGTAATAGTTATTATTCCTTCATTAGGAAGAGTTGTGGTGCATGGTCAAGAGTACTCAGTATGGCAAAAATGTACCTTAAGAGCCTGCAGATTAAATGTAGGACTAAGAAACACTTCAGCATTTGATCATAGAATTTGTAGTGTTAAAACCAAAGAAAGGACTTACTTTTGCAGTATATTACATTTATTTTCTTACTCTAATCATCTTTATTTAAAAAAAATTCCAGGTCATATCATCCCTAACCATGGCCTACATTGCTCTGTGCGCATATTCAACCCTCTTCAAGATCCGAGTTCTCAACCTGTATTACCTGGCTCCGCATCACCAGACAGATGAGTACTCGCTCATCTTCTCAGGGATGATGCTGTGTCGACTCACCCCTCCCATGTGCCTCAACTTCCTCTCCCTCATTCACATGGACTCGCATGTCATCAAGGTCCACACGGATGAAACACATTATACACAGGTGAGGGGTTGTGGGGTGTGGATGGATGGGTGGAATGGAGTTTGTGATATATAGTGTATTTCATGGGCATTGATGCCTATTTATCTGTTTATTATTATTATTATTGTTATTATTAGTAGTAGTAGTACGATTACTATTACTATTATTATTACTATTACTATTATTGTTACTATTACTGTTATTATTACTATTACTATTATTATTACTATTACTATTACTATTATTATTACTATTACTATTACTTCTACTATTACTACTACTACTACTACTACTATTACTATTACTATTAGTATTAGTATGGTTATTATTATTATCACCACCATCACAGTCATTATTATCATCATCATTATTGTTGTTATCAGTATCATTTATCAATCATTATCATTTATTATTATTTTTATTTTGTGTGTTTGTTTGTGTGTGTGTGTGGGGGGGGGGGGTATTTCAAAGTAGCCATATTGTCATATTCTTTGAATGATGATCTGTAAAAATTAAGTTAACTTTAGATGAATTTTCCTACTGCTCTCTATCTTCCATATCCATCTTTCATCCACTTTTATCAAAGTTGCCACATATAGGAACATTGCTTCTTCCTTTCTGCAGATAATGGGCCATATGGATGTGATCAAAATTATCAGTGATGGCTTCAACATCTACTTCCCAATGATGATAGTAGCCCTGTGTCTTGCCACTTACTACAGCTTAGGCTCACGGCTCCTCTCTGCACTGGGCTTCCAACAGTTCATGTCAGATGATGACCTCACTTCTGACCTCATCGAAGAAGGAAAGACACTTGTGAATAGAGGTACTTGGGTTTTGGCTCACTGTATGTGTTTTTTATTGATGGAAGTTTACTAGTTAAAAGATTTGAAGTAGATTTAGAATATTAAAAGTGTCCTTTGCTTTTTTATTGATCGTAAATAGAGTATAGTTTGTTGGAGGTAGAGGAACGAATTCAAGGATATAACAGGCTTCTATTCAAAGATGTAAGATGAGTTTTGCTTGAATCTCACAAATGAATGATTATTCATCCAATACTCTGAAACACTGCTTGATATTCAGCTTGCTACTAAGGGGAGATGCATTAAATCTAACAGGATATTTATTTATCAATGAGTTTGTGCACATTCTAGTGATTATACAAATCCTCTAAAGTTCATACAGCCTCTGCATATTCACCCTCTGTCCACACAAAATCTATGTATGCACAACAGGCTAAGTGATTCACTTGCTTACAAAAAAAAATATCTGGTTTATTCCCAACAGAGACTCGACGACGCCAGAGGCAAGAAGACAATGCTGCACGTCGCAGGGAGTTTGCAGAGAGGTTTGGGGGTGGTGAGTCATCTGCCAGTATGTACAGGTGAGTGTTCCATAGGTGTAGCGATAAAAGCAAAATAGCTTCTGTGTTCATTAAGAGCTTAGATAATTTGTTCATTAACCCGTTGCATCCAGTTGTGTCAAGGAAATCACGATAAGTGGCTTATGTAAGTAGCCAACATCCTGGGTGTGTGGTGCGTAGACCGGCCATACGCAAACACCCATGAGCGGTGACAAGACTCTGTGCCTCTGTTTTCCAAAGTTAGTTTGTGTAAATTTTTTTAGCTTTTTTGCCATTTTCCAGTGTCCATATTTGTCTTTTGATTTGTTTTATCTAGATGGTAATAGCTTATTTCTTTGCAGCAACTCCATATCATATCTCTATATAGTAAATAACTCAGTCCAAGAAAAGAAATATATAGAACATTTGGTTATTTGTGACATATCATATTTTTTCATAATTTTCAATTTTCCATAATTCAACCTGCGCTTCCGATCACGGTAGACAGGAATACGGTGCAAAGCATTGAAATGGCGTTTTCCCTGGAGTCAGTGCTCTTCTAGCCATGGTTTATGCACGTTACATTCCACATTTGTTTATTGATGGGAATAATGCTAAAGCCCCTTTCTAAGCGCCAAATGAGTCAGATCATACTCAGATAAGTTTGTGCATTCGGTTCACCCGGCCCACGGCCTTTTTGCCCAAAGATGGCCTGTTCACGTCTCCCAGCCCTCGACCCAAATTTTTCCATGATGGGAAAGTAACATCATCTGGATCATAGGGGTTAAGAGTTTAGAAGATATTTTTCACCCCTGATATAACATTGTCTACAAGGATAAATAGATTTTAAATCAGAGGACAAAATAGTGGGAATGTATAATTGAAAATGAGTGATTTGATAAAGCAAGAAGTACCTTTTAATTAATTATTTTATATTAAGAATATATTTTGATTTAGCATCTACTCACCTCTTGTTCCAACTCAGATCTGCCCGTCAACGTGCTGAGGAGCTAGTGCGTCCTATGAAACGTGAAGACTCTTCTGAGTCAGCCCACCTGGAGCTCCTTGGGGGCTCAGACAACATTGCCGACTACTCTTCCCACACAACCACCTCTTCCTTGACTCTTGAGGATGAGATGGAAGCTGGACGGGGTGGTGCTAGGATCTCTGGTTTTTCTGGCCTGGCACAGTACTCAAGGGCCAGGACTCATAAGCCTGATAAAGGCTTGTTTGATGATGTCTGAGTCAGCCATGGTTTCATTACTGAAGAACCATCATGTCTTGTAATATGGAAGATGTCCATGTTCATGAAAGTTAGAAATGTAGATGGCCATAAGTACTGTGTTCTTTATTTAGTTTATCATATGCAGTGATAACATGTAAATTAGTGTGTGAGTGTGTGAGAGAATGTGTGTGTGTGTGTGTGTGTGTGTGTGTGTGTGTGTGTGTGTGTGTGTATGTATGTGTGTGTGGTGTGTGTGTGTGTGTGTGTGTGTGTGTGTGTGTGTGTGTGTATGTGTGTGTGTGTATGTGTGTGTGTGTGTGTGTGTGTGTGTGTGTGTGTGTGTGTGTGTGTGTGTGTGTGTGTGTGAGTGTGTGTGTGTGTGTGTGTGTGTGTAGATGTAGGTATGGGTGGGCAGGTAAGTGTGTGCTTATGTGCATCCTGCCATGCCAAAGTATGTCCAGATATTCAGGATTTTGAGAAGGTTCTTTGTGTCCATATTCCTTCAGAATGTTGCAGCTAGTATCCTTTTTGTTATGTAATCCCATCAACGGCTGCTTCATTGTCTATAGGGCTGTAAAACCAAAAAGATACCTAACGCAGTGAGAAAATAGTGTGAACAACTTGTTTTTGTGTTGTGTTTATGAAAAGGCTGCAAGCTGAATACCATATAAGGAATAAGACTGAAAGCTTTTCACTCACCAGTACTGATGTCCCCCTGTTGTCTCTTTCTGTCTTTCCCCTCTTCTCATAGTGTCCTTAATTCTCTCCCCTTCCTCCTCTCTTTACTAATGTCCTCCTCTGAGACCTCACTATCTCTTTTCTGTCTATTTCTTGTCTTCAAAAAGTGGCAGCAAGCTAAGGGTGTTTGATTTTCCATTAACATATATATGTATATTTTGTGTGTGTGTGTGTGTGTTAATTTATATGTGCATTTGTGTGAATGTATGTATTTTTTATTTAAAATCCAAGGGTTGTCTTCAGTTTGTTGGAAGTCGAATTAGGAGACAGCAGCTATATGACACTGGGAAACAGTTTTCCTTTTTATCATGGAAAATATATATCCTCAGCTGTGATAAGCTGTAGAACCACAGAATATTTGTCTTTGAAGAACATTGTGCACTTCTTGAAAAAATGAATAGGGAAAAAATATAACAAATTGAAATAGTATTGATATTGTTGATTACTTTTTTTTCTGATTTTTTTTGATTGATTTTATTCTCTATTACTATTTCCATACCATAGTTTTGTGTTCATTGCTCATTGCACCTGTATTACTTGTTGTTCTTTTGTGATTAAAACTGTGTGATTAATTTATTATTTCTTAGCTTACAGTTTTGTGTGTGTGATTGCATCACATTTTGTGCTACCCATTACTTCAGCTTATATTAGAATTATTTATTTTAATACGTCATGTATCACTTTCATCTTTTTTATCATTATTTCTATTACCTTTCTTCTTATTATTACACAGTATATCATATTAGTGCAATTGCACTTATCATTTCATGATAGTAGTAATGTGCATTAAATATTATCAGCAGAAAATGACAAAGCCTTTTAGAAGGTGAACATGAGAGTGTAAGGTGATGCAAAGAATTATTTTCCCTTTTACATATTTGTTATTGTCTTGTCAGGATAACATATCTAGGAATAGAGCTTTAAAGTCTTCAGCTGACATTGATTTTCTTGGAGGTAGATGGAATGAGAGATTACAGCACTTCCAATATATCCAATAAACCTATTGCTAATACTGTGGTGGTAATTCAACTTACTTATATTTTCTTTGTCATATTTTCTCTTTTATATTCTCCCGTAAAGCTTCTCATACATTGTACTGAAATGCTGTAGCACTTTTAAAAAAGAAAAAAAGTTATGATTGGATTACAATGTAATATTGTAATATTCATTTGGAAGATGAGAAAGCAGATAATATCGGTGTTGAATAATTATTATGACTTTCCTGAACAATGTTTTTTCTTTAATACCATTTTGTGTAAAAACTTTTTGATTTACCATATCAAAGAACAGTGTCTCAAAAAATAGGTAAATTTAAATATACCCATTTTCATCTCAGCAAACTTAGGTGTGAGGATTTATGTTTCATATTCTTTTCATTCTTTGTAATGTCTTTATTTCAGCTGTTTGTTTTCTTGTGCCTATTGAAATTTTGTGTAGCATACCATAATTATTCACTGAGAATATTATATGAAGGCATGCGCATCCAAAGGGGGCCTCAGGCCAGTTATCCAACAATACATTTAATCAGTGTTTTCTCAATTCAAATCATCATATGTAACATTATCATTGATATATTCATGTCTATGAAGACTGTAGGTCATTAAAGTGAAGATATTGATGTTTATGTTATAGATGAAAGCTTAAATTAACCTTATAGGTAAACGCTTAAATTAGCCAAATATATAGTAAATGCGATTGGGCAGAGAACACCATTGGACATGCATACCCACATGTGAAGACATGCAAATACTTGTGTGCATGAATAATTTTCTCATCTTGATATGGTTCAGAGGACACTTCTTTATTCACACACACTTGTACACATGCACACTCTCATACTTATGTACACATATACACATATTTATACATGAATATGTTTATGTATAAATGTATGCATTTGATACTTGTGCATATTTTTTCTTTTCTTTCGCTGTTTCTTTTTCTTTAGGAAAGAATTTGAATTACTGCTGAAGAAAGTACACAAAAATGGTTGTGTAATTATTATGTAGTTGAATTATATGCAGCATTTAACTCAAAGGGCTTTCAAAAATGCATGTTTATTATGATGAATACAGTATGCCATTTTAGTCCATTGTCATTGGGCAGCATGTACATATGTGCCATGGCATGGTATGTACACCTATGCAACATGCATCTAAGGTGTGTGTGCTAAACAGTTTTTTGTTTGTTTGGCCATGACTCCTGTCTTTGAAGAGTTACAGCCCTTCAAAAGAAAGACTAAAGCATTTTCTAACCTTGTTTCATGGAAAATTGCATATGCTGCAGCCAAATTGTAGAGAGTGGAGAAATAGTATATTTCCTATGCTTCAAATTTATCCCTCAAGTGTGAGCTGCGCCTATGGTCCATGGTGCATAAACTACCAATTGCCATTGAATTTTTGGGTTACCAAGAAAAGAAATTGGAAAAGGTACATGTTTTTTACTATTCATGAATTATTAGTTATTTATTTAAATTGGAAGCTGTGTGTGTGTATGCAAAAATTACAAATCATATCTAAAGTGGACAGTGCTGGTGCCAGACACCAGTGGGTTAAGTAGGATTTACAATAAGTCTCACACCCAAATTACAAATACATATTTTAGTAATAGAAAAATCAATGGGAAATTGAAGCAGTTGCTATTTCTGATCCAGCTTCTCTGTTTTGAACAATTCCATAAAATAGGTAATTAAGAGAGATTAATGACTAATTTAGGCAAACCCAAAACCCACCTAAAGTATGGTGAGGTCCTCATCCAATCTTAATATTTATACAAAATAACAGTTCTTGTTAGAGTCATTTCCCTCCCATCACAAACTATTGAATTCTTTCTCATGGCAAAATTATCACATGTTAACAGGCAAATATCACAATTTCAAATTGAGTTCACTTTTCATAATTCATAATAATTTATTTCATGCTTCTTGGAGTGGCAGGAAAGCTTGTGATCCAACTTCAAAGTAGATGTAGTAAAGTTTGTTTTATATATATACACATAATAAGGCATTTAGATCTAATGCCTTTCTTGAATATCAAAATTCTTTTAGGTGTATTAAGGTATTTTATTCATTTTGAGAACCTTTCTTCTCTCCCTCTACCATATATTTCTCATTTAAAAAGCTATAAATATTTTAAATGATTAATTATTAGAAGACTAGGTATATGAGTGATAAAATGACCTGGTAATTACCTTCAAA